ACTGAATGTAAATGTTATTATGACTTTGAATAATAAGAACAAAAAATATCTATCCAAAGTCAGCAATTATCCAATCATCCATCGAAATCCAACGAAATGATTATCCTGACTATCCTGGGGTTTGGAGAAGATTAAAAGTGACTTTTCTTTCTCATTCTGCTCAGAAAATGGTAAAGGTAAAAAAAAAAAAAAATCCAGTAATTGCGGTTAATAATTGAACAGTACATCCAGATAAGTGGGCTGATTTTAGTATTGTTTCCCCATTTATGATCTAGTTTGGAAAGGGGCAGTGTCGGAGGTCTACAAAAGATTATTCTGGGTAATTATCCTGTGGTGTGGGATGTGCTTAAAATGTAATAATCGACGCAAACTGCTCAGAAAATGATCAAGGTGGAAAATGTTAATCAAGGTATACACATACAGATGATAATCAAGCCTTATTTTAGCATTTCCCCCCCACACCCCTTCTTATGTCAGCAAATTTCAATTAGCAGATTACTTCGAAAGACTATCCACAGCAATTATCCCGCCGTATGAATTGGCTGATTTTTCTTGCCTGATCTGCTTGGAAAATGGTCAGGGTAGACAATTGTTAGTTGGGGTACGCACATCAGTGAAGGCCCGATTATCAAATGTCCCGAAAAGATTATCCTAAGCAAAATTTTGTTCGATGGGTTAAGAGCGATAATTCCCCTGATCCTGCAGGGTTCCATTTTATTGTAATCTTTTGTGTCAGAGTCAACATGATGATCATTGGTTATTGGATGATCATACTTGATTGATTGTCGTGGGTTGTAGTGTATGTTTAAGATATTTAAAAAAAATGAAGGAGTGGAATAAATGAATTGCCGAGTTATCATTTTTCATTGCACACTATCTTTGCGCACAAGATGGATGAGTGACAGTTCCACAGAAATGAGAGCACGTTTTCAGTTGATTTTAGGAGGGTTTTAAAATAGCATCCAAGTAAGAAGGAGCCCGCTATGTGCAAGGCGATGAGATGGATTGCTGTAATGTGCCGTAATGTATCAGAATCCTGCGGGAATGATGACAGGCAACAATCAAGGTACTCAATTAAGTGTGTAACGCTCCGGACGTCAATTACCCGACTGATTGATGAGGCCAAATGATCCGACTCATTTTCTCCACACGGCGTGAAAACGGAAAGGAAATTTTGTTGATGAATGATTTGAATGTGCAGCCAGAACCCATCGCGCTTATGTGCATTTTTTTTTTCCTTCGTGGGTGTGTGCGAGACAAATTCGGGGAATAATACTTGAAAGAATCATAGAGAAAATTGCAAAAAGAAATAGAGCTAATGGTTTTAAAACATATCATGTAAAAGTGGTTAATGTATCAGCTGAGTTGTATTTCTTGTCTTTATTTCCATTGATGGCCGTGATGTTCCTGCGGCCCGCTAACAAAAGCCTAAACAATGTTTGAAGAGCGCCTTGAGAGCAGTTTGGACTAAAGCTTTGCGGTTTTTTTTTTATCCTGTGCATGTTGTCAATGTGTAGTGGGATAATTGAAGTGATCCTCCACGATGGGATCTATTTATACAGAGCATAATTCCCTCTGTATTCAGGCATTATCATGGTGTCAGTGCAAGCACAATGACACAATAAGGTCAATATAATGAAACTCCAAAACAATATGGTGTTGTTCGACCCAGAAAAAAAAGGGAGCCGGCCCAGATTGTTTTGCTAGGCTTTTATTGAGCCCTTTGCAAAATGAGCATTATCATCTTGTCAAAAATGCGTTGTTGTAATTCAAGTGATATTTGAGGAAATAAAACTTCTATAATTTTCTTTGATAACTGATTGCCAAAAAAATCTTTTAAAGTCTTGGAATAAAGGTTTTACGGCTTTGATTTCAAAACAGAATAAAAATGAAATTTATTAAAAATGAGATTTTCAGCAAAATGCCTGTTGAGTTTGACAGATCATAGGAATCCAAGTTTACTGGAGAAATAGTTAAGCAATATAGCTTGTCGAGTTTAACAGGAAATACAAAATTGGAGTCAAAATGCATAATTTGTTTTTGACCATTTAGATCACTCAGAGAGATT